AGAATTTTTTCAGAATTTTTTAATACCGTTTTTTCTCATGTTGTGATAAAAATAAGAAAATGCAGTACTAAAAAGTTGATAAAAAATTCTGAAAAAATTCTCATTGAGTTTCCCGAAGTATTCGGAAATGGAGAAATAAGTTGGTTTATTATAAAACTATTTGCGATTTATTTTGATTTATATATACTTATTTATATAAAGTACTACATATTTATTTTAAAAACAAGCATTACATCTAAAAATTTATTTACAATATGGAAAGAGTGATAAAATATCAGGATTTGAAATGTACTCAAACCTAATAAAGATTATCTCTGAATCTTTAGAATAATGTTTTTCAAAAAAATAATGTTTCGATTTTTCTCTCACAAATTCAAACATGAATGTTGAATACACCGTCATAAATACACATAATGTAAAAAAAGAGACTCCCAAGGACCTCAATACGATAGATACGGAGAGATATCTCAAATTATAAAGTTGCCACTATTTAATGTGAATCGAAATTTTCTTCTTTCGGTTCAGAAAAACACCATACGAAACTGGATTGATGAAGAATCGAAGTCGTTGTATCGGTGTGGCGATTATTAGAATGTCGCGTTTATTAGAATAATACAAATCTTTTATTGCCAAGCTGATACAAATGAAGAATTTTTATTTCCTAACTGATGACATAATTTATGAGTCCTTCCCAAAAGGATTAGGAAAGTGCGTTCTACTCTCCATTTTTTCTTCCTTTCATTTCATTTCCTTCCGTTTTCTGCCTTATATACTCAACTAAAGATATGCTTTACTTATGTTTATGTAAGAGTTCTTAACTTCTTATATGAGCACTTTTTTCAGTGCAAAATATTCATTTTATTTGAAGATTCAGAAGATATCCGAAATCAAGATGTAGAAGTGCTAATCTATAAGTTTCCTTATTTCTGGTAATTTTATTTCAAAATAACGAAAGTTTGTAACACCTAGATTTAATGTATGCAGAGCAAAATGTTGATATCTATTTGACATACATATCATTTTGTTCCAATAATTTGAAACTTTCATCGAACTTATAACTTGAAATTTTTCATCGTCTTGCGCTATTTCCACCTGAAAATTAATATTTTATTTTACAGAGATAAAATCATACTAATAACTATTAAATGTAACAATCGTTAATAGAATCCAATATAATATTTGAACAATATGTATGTAAAGACTAATTGTATAATATTTAAATATCTTACCGCGATGTTATTAGATTTCCCACAGATGTTCATGCCTAGAATTGACATTGCCTTGTAATTGCTATAAAATATTGACTTTTTTGTTGATGTAATAACTGCTGTTTGGCTTGATAATTTAGTTACTAGTTTACTTTGTTCATTAGCCTCTTCTTTGTTCGGACATTTTAGTAGTGTCTCTATTTTTATCTTATATATTCCTTTTCCCGATATAGGAACATAATATAATTCTGAAATATTTAAAAAGAAAAATGAAAAAAAAAAAAGATTATTTAGATGTTACAGCGAAATATACCATTGCGGATTACACTAGCCTGCGAATTTACACTTTTGAATAATCGTCTACCAAACACTTAATAATTTTTTACATCGATACATTATATTTATTTGTTTCTATTGTAATTACCATAATTTTTTTACATATTGAATATGAAATAGATTTTCATGCAAATTTAGCTGTATATCATGTTACAATTCTAAGAGAAATGGCGTCAGAGATCAAAAATGATGATTTTATGGATTTTCAAGACGTTGTAACACTGATGGTCAATTTTTTAAAAATATTATGAATACTATGTACATATAATGTATATAATGTGACAATTTCAACTTTTACCTTTGAAATGTATATTCGGTTTTGTTTTCATATGTCTTTTTGCATATCATTACGATTAAAATAACATTTATTTTGTGAAAAGCATATACTTGCCATCATCAACGACTGTTATACTGAAAATTCCGCCTTCATGAGTAAAATTTTGCTTTGCTACAGAGAAAAAAGTATCAACCGGTTTCATGTAATCAGATTCGACTCTGCACATACGCTTTGTAGATGATTCATACACCACTAAACCTGAACCTTCCGTATCAGTCATAAATATCTGTATTGATTTACATGTATATTGAATCACTTAACAAATAAGATACAATATATTGCATATACATTTGTTTACGCAAGTATTATTTAGTTACTCGGTATATACGGTTAAGTATATACATATATATGTGTTCATGTAATTAAATGTGTAATTAAATAATACTTGCGCAGACTAATATTTATTACTACGATTAAAAAAGAAGATATACTAACAATCATTTTATTTAGAAAGTGTTTGCAATTTCCAGGAGCATAAATCAAAGGCGTTATCAATAATCCAGAACCTGTTTCGTTAGTAGCCAAATCAAGTGGAAGATAAATAGTTTTAACAAGCGTATCATCTTTTAAATCAAAGATCAACAGTTTTGGATTACAGACTTGGTCGAATTGCCCGATTTTGCCATTATCCAGAACGATGATGTGATTGCATTGAATCTAGAATTAAGGTAAAAATTCTATTTCATATATTGTTATTAACCTGATTATTGTGTATGCATGTAGTGTATCCCAATTAACACAAATCATTCATGAAACATTCTATTTGTATTCCTAATGTACAATATTATATTCCGGAAATTGAAAACATATGTAAGAGATGTTAATTATAATAGAATTTTTTAAGTGATCCCATATTAGCTGTAGCGATCTATATTAACACTTTTTCCTCTAATAAAGTGTTGATTATTTAAATATTATTACATATAAATAAACTGATAGTTATTTGATATTGATATATTTAAATATAAGATATAAATATGTGACATATACATATAAGTTAAAGAATCTCTTGAACGAATTAAAGATGTCGAATACTTACATTCGTTCGGTAAACATTTACAATACCATTACATATACATTCGCTATTATGCCAATTGTTATTATACCAACTCCAATCTGGATATGGCCGTAAAATTGGACCTCCTGGTCCTATTTTATTAGTTACTGTCGTTAAAGTAGCAGGTGAACCAGGGCCGTATACATTAGTAACAGTAACGAATAGTCTACCATCTGTAAGTATTTTGTTTGTAAACGGAACCTACGTTTTCTACTAAAAATTATGTTTACTTTTTTAATTTCATGACAGTAGTAATGCAATGCGTTGTGTTGACAATATCAAAGTATGAAATATATTAATCCATAATATGCTTATATTACAATTAAATACTATATTTTTTATGATTACAGTACAGTTAAATGCTATAACTATAAACTGCGTGATAAAAGAGTAACATTCATGTTTCTGTGTAAATATAAGTATTACAAATTTTTCGGATGATCTACCATTAACCTACCATCCGCTTTACTTGCATCTTCGAATAAGCACATTAATGGATTGTAAGAGCCGGATATTAACGCTTCTTTCTTCTGCTCTTGACTTCGCCATTCAAAGTCAGCGTATTTCCATTCATGTATGACATTCACTTCAATTCCGAAGCTCACAATTGCCATTGATACAATTAGTAGAATAAACGAAGAAAATCCCATTTTTAGTAGTTGGTAGCTTACAGGTAGTAATGTTGTGTAGCTCAGGGCATGACAAAAAAGGATTTTTTTTATCCAAGATACGAATTCGTCTTGAGAGTTTAAACTTCGAATCCCAAAAAAAAGATTGCGCAGGTGTTCTTTTAATGAAATATTGATTGGAATTTTATTCTCTTTATATAGTTGTCGTTTTATTCTTTCTACGGTTATTGATGTCCGATCATCAGCTTTAGCCGTTGCTGGTACAGGTGAAATGGTTGGATCGATCTAATAAGTAAAAACCGATCGCTCAATGAGTAGCCTGCATTCTGAAAACCGAAAAAGTGTTGCAATCTTTTAGTTGATGAATGTAATCTTTTAACTTTTGATGTAGTCGCAGCAAAAATATTCCCGGTAAAATATCTGCTAAAATCTCACAAGTTCACACACTTTTAACAAATTTTCGAAATAACGATCCTGATAAATACTTTTTCTCTGTTTTTATTATTAATATAAGTTAACATTCTCTCTCTCGCGCGCTCGCACGGCTATGCCTCATTTAGTTTTTTACAATGAATTCCATTTACGTTGTGAAATGTAACAATGAGTTATATTGGGCAAAAATTTTTTTTGAAGACACATGTATGATTTGAGTGAAAGTAATTTGGTTTCACAATAAATTGTATTTGTTTGTAAATTGTAATAAATTGCGCTAAGTGGAAAAATTTTTGAATATGCGTGCATTGGGAAAAATTTCTGGTTGAAAATGAACGAATCGGTAAGATTCTATATAATCATATTAATCAGAATTTGATCATTATAATTGAACATCTGTTTTATCTCAATTAAAATTTAATAAATTCAACCAGAAAATTTAGATTCGTCCACCAGTCAGAAATATTATTCAGTGCCTTTCTTAATAATTAAGTTTGTTGTGACTTTTGGATTGTAACAATAAAATAAAATAACTGACCTGAATATCGGTAGACACGTAAGTTGCAAATGCTAGTGCAATAACTTGTCTGTCAGTTATATTTTTTTCGACAAATATGTATGAAGATGTTTTTTTAAAGCACTTGGTTATGCAACCACTAATCATAATTGCGGCCATTAAAAGTCTTTTGACTTGGCGTTACGTTGTCACAATATGTATAAAAGACTTATGACACACATTATGTGTGTATGGTTACATGTGCAGATCGTATCCTATCACTGAAGCAAACTGGAATCAAAAACACAAAAGGAACCATTTGGTCGAAGTATCTAAAAATTTAAACACAGGTCTGAAAATATATAATTTTAGATATTTTAAAAATAATTTAAAGAATGTGTTATAGTGCATCTAAATAATTACGTAGTAATCTCACGCATAATGAGCAATGTTGCAAAAAGTTTCGACATTCTTGCAACCCGATAGTTTGTTTGAAAATTTTGATTAGATTGCCTCTTTTTTATTTATTGGTTAATATTTATTGATATTTGTCTAATTGAGTTAAGAATTATAAATTTAAGAAATAGAGTAACAAATTCGTTTATTTGAAGAATATTTGCAATTCATTCTGGCAATTTATATGTGTATAAAATAACTTGTATTTTGAATACAAGTATTACACTCCCCCCCCCCAAAATTTACTTTATTATAAGGAAAACGTGATAAAATAACAGAACCAATAAATACACTCAATATGTTAACAAAGTTTATCTCTGAATTTTTGAAATAAAGTTTCTTTAAGGGGGTACTCTACTCTAAAACACGCTTTTTTCGGGATTTTTTTACAAGAAACTAGTGAAAATTGTTAATATCAGCTTTTTATGTATATATTTTATTATGTTTAGAGAACATAAAAAATATTTTTTAAAGCTAAATTAATGAATATAAATATTAATTAAACCCTATCGAATACATGGTAAAAAAAAAACGGTGCCCATGATTGCGTGCATTCTGGTTATCTGAAATAAAAAATTCAAAAAGATTCTTAATTAGTATAAGTTTGGCTATAGCAGGAACTAGAATGGAATAAAAAAATAGAAAATTAAAAAAATGGCGGCACTTTGAAAATTTAGTATGAATTTTCTTATCTTTCGAAGGTTGTCAAAATCGTAAAAAAATTTTTTTTTACTTAATTCTAGTTCCGGCTATATAGCCAAACTTATATTAAGAATCCAAATTAAGAATCTTTTTGAATTTTTTATTTCAGATAACCAGAATGCACGCAATCATGGGCACCGTTTTTTTTTTACCATGTATTCGATAGGGTTTAATTAATATTTATATTCATTAATTTAGCTTTAAAAAATATTTTTTATGTTCTCTAAACATAATAAAATATATACATAAAAAGCTGATATTAACAATTTTCACTAGTTTCTTGTAAAAAAATCCCGAAAAAAGCGTGTTTTAGAGTAGAGTACCCCCTTAAACAAATTAAGTTGTGAGTTTTCTCGCAATAAGTACAAATACGTCGTTATCATATATACATAAGAAAAAAAGATGAGACTCGCGGAGACTTAATTGGACAAATACAGAGATATCTGAGATGATATCTGACTAAAGTCATCACTATATCTAAAACGTTTCTTCGTTCGGTGCGAATCTAGATTACGTAAGAATCAAACACGTTTGAGGGTTGCGAGGTGTCGTGTCTATTGAAACAAGGCAAGACTTTTAATGGCATAGCTGATACGAAAAATTGTATTTCCTAATCCATACCATAAATCATGAGATTTTCGCAAAGGATAAAATCTTCTCGAATCTGTTTTACGTTCGCGGCTTTATTTCTTCTTCTCTTTCTGGCCTCGTAAAAAATATTTGAACACATGTTATCGTGCTTTATTCTTATCGAGCTCTTAACGTAAAGATTATCAACAAATCCTAAAGCACTTTTATCGCTCAGAATTTTTATTTCATTTGTGTTTAAAAGACATTATAAAAGAATAGGTTCTAAATGAAGTAATAAATAAATATCTTTCATGAAAAAATAGCCATGAAGTGTAAAGAACAGCCATGAAGTGTAAAGAATTTATGTAAAGAACAAACATTTATTTTATATATGACATATTTATCATTCATAACTAATAAAGAATTAATCAAAATAATCTTAAAAAAACGTCTTAATTAAATGATGTAATGTCATTTATTATATAATGACCTTTTTGACATAATTTTGAAGGTACACGTTTATATCAAATTCATGCAGTATATCTTACAACTACAGATGCTATTATCGAATTTCTTTATTGAGTAAGATTATGTTTAGTAAATATTAGTCTGAAATTATATTTCCAGAACTCTTTCAAAATGGTTTATTATTTACTTCTATGTCAATTATTATTATCGCCCTAATAACTTATTTTTATGTGCATGTATAATTAAAAAAATCTTTGAATTTTTCTTTAAAACTAATTTTAAAAAGTTTGCAAATTAATCTTTTGCAATATATGCAGATTTATGTAATGCACATAATTTTAACATATATATGCACATATAAAATTACGTTTTACATATTGATTTGATATTATATATATATATATATATACATATATATTTTTTTAAATATGAAAATTAGAACTTACACTGAAAAAAAACATTAGCTGCTGCAGCAAATTAGATGGTAAACTATGGCATATAATTTTTGGTTGCTGCAGTCAATTAAAAATGTTATGCCATATTTAATCATCTAATTTGCTGTAGCAACCAATCTTTTCTTTCAGTGTAGAGTTGCTAATTTATCTTCTAATTCTATGTTTCTTTTAGCACAAATTTATTTTGAAATAACGGACATTTGTTTCATTTGTATTTAATTTGTTCAAAGCATAAAGTTGAAATCTATCAGATATGCACTTCAGCTGACATCCATTACTTGAAATTTTCATCGAACTTATAGATTGAAAATTTTCGCTGTCTTGTGCTAACATCTCCTTGAAATAAATAATAGTTTATTTTACTTTATAAAATCATACCAATGACTATTAAATTATTAATAGTATTTGACATGTTTTACGATTGATACGTAAAGAATAATTACATACGGATATCTTACCGTTTCATAGTTATCGGATTTTGTCATGCGTAGAATAGACATTGCCTGAAAATCGCTATAAAATATTGATTGTCCTGCTGATGTGAGAACTACCGTCTGGCTTGATAATTTTTTAACAAGTTGAGTTTGTTCATTAGCCTTTTCTTTGTTTGGACATTCTAGTAAGTTTTTTATCTGTATTTTGTATATTTCCTTTCCTGATACAGCAGCAAAATAGAGATCTAAAATATTTAAAATACAGTGAAAAGGATTATTATTTGGAAGTTACAGCAAAAATACATTGATTATTTCTAAAAAAACTTTTCTATGTTTTTGAGGTTTTCACGGGGGTAACTTCTGCGTAAAAACTATAATGTGTGTCGCAAGTTATTTCCGTGTCTATGTCCATCTTTGGAATGCCAACGTTTCGTAAACGTTGCATTTGGCGTTCCATAAATAAGTATAGTAACGGAGGAAACCCTCAAAACATGTACAGGTTTTAAATAAAATTTTTTTATGTTTTATGAGTTATTACTAGCGCGCAAAGCATATATGTCTTAATAAATGAATAAATATTAATATCACGTAAATAAGAAATTACGAATGCAAATGGTATGTGTCAATTAAAGTTAAATATTTTCAGATTTGCTATATAGGATAAGATTAAATATTACAACTGAAATAATATCTATTATTTAAAATGCAAACACTTACCATCGTCAAGAACTGTTATACTGAAGATACCGCCCACATACGTAAAATTTTCGCCCGCTACAGAGAAGAAAGTATCAGTCGGTTTCATGTAATCAGATTCGACTGTGCACATACTCTTTGTAAACGAGTTATACACTACTAAACTGGAATCTCCCGTATCAGTTATAAATACCTGTGTATATGTTTATAGATATATTAAATTTATAAATATATTAAATCACGCAAAATAAGAGATATATAATGAAAAATGTTATTAAATAATATTTACACAGATGAATATGTATTACACTATAATTAAGAGAGAAGATATACTAACTATCATATCATCCAGAAACTGCGTGCATTTCCCATTTGGAATATAAACCAAAGGCATTACCAATAATCCAGAGTCCGTTTTGTCAGTAGCAGTATCAATTGGAATATAAATAATTTTAACCAATGTATCATCTTTTAAATTGAAAATCAATAGTTTTGGATTACAGATTCGATCGGTTCCGATTTTGCCGATATCCATAACGAAGAGGTGATTGCATCGAATCTGAGATAAAAGTAAAAACTCTATTTCATATATTGTCAAACTTATCTTATTGCGTGTAGTTGTGTGTAATATTTAATAAACTGTTGCTCTTTAATACATTACATATAAATGTAAAAAATTATATTTTTTCTTGAATGAAAGATGTTGATATACTTACGTCTATTCGATAAACATTTATAATACCATCACACATATAGCTGCTATTATACCAACTCCAATCTGGGTATGGTCGCAAAATTGGACCTCCTAGTCCTGTCTTATTAGTTACTGTCGTCAAAGTAGCAGGTGAAGCATGTGTATTTATGTTGGAAACAGTAATGAATATTCTTCCATCTATAAGAATTTATTTTTGTAACTTATGTTTGCTACTGTAATAGATGTATTTATTTCAAAGAAAATCATAGGAAAAATAAAAATTGAATGTAGTCAGTGGACCTCAGAATTAGCTTAAAATTTTAAGATTTAATATTGATCATTACATTTAATATTGATCACTGACGTATCTAGAGAAAGATTTGGAAGATTGGAACTCTATCCCGAAATTTTGTATTTAATTTTTAATTCTTATTTATAAAAGATATATTACTATTTTTTATTCTTTTTGTTTTATTTATTATCTGATTCTCCTTTTTTTTTAAATTTAATATCGCATTTTTAATAATACTTACTAGCAATGTAACTATCAATGTTTCTCAAACAAAGAACTTTCTATAAAGTTGTTTTCTTTTTAAATTTTTTTTCTGAGAAAATTATCATAAATGTTTTGTATATGTATAATAATAATAATATTTTAGTAATATTAAACCGCACAGTATTATATAACAAACACATGTGTTAATTAAATTTAAAAAACAGTAGCTCTGGGTTGCTTCCCAAAACATAACTATACTTGATCGAAACTCTATAGTTATTACGTTTTGGAACATATTCTTATATAGTGAAGGCACAGTAATTTTTTAATATGATTAGTTCTTGTCTTTAATTCTTCGTCGGATCTAAATCCACAAGCCAAGTAACTGTTAAATTAATGACGAGTTACTAAAAGAAATGTAACTAATTATAAGTTAAATTACATTTACAGATAGGAAAATAGAAACGAAATTAAAAAAAAAAAGTTACTAAAAAGTAATTATGACTGTAACTTATTTACAAGTAATGAATTACTTCTCTGCAAAATCATTATAACTTTTTTTGAATAGTATATCATCAACTTACCTTCTGCTTCATCTGCATCTTCGAACACGCACCTGGAAGAGTTATAGATACCAGAACTTATCGCGTCTTCCTCCTGTTCCTTAGAAAGCCATTCAAATTCAGGAAATTTCCATGTATATATATTTTTCACTTTGTCTCCAAAGCTTACAATCACCATCGACAGAATTAGCAGGGTAAACAAAGGATGTCCTATTTTCATCATGGTGGATAGCTTATAGGTAATAATGTTGTAAATACAGGATTTTCTGGAAACGAATTCGTCTTTGAAAGTTGAAACATTGAATCTTAAGATTAGTAGTTGATAATATCGATACAGTTATCAATCCGCTGCAGCATAAATACTCTCACTATTCAAGTAGGGGGGTACACAGTATATTAAAAAAAAACCAATATTTACAATCGACAGAAGTGCCTTCTAAAAATATATGTAGCCGCAATCCTCCTTTTGTTAATTAATTAATTATCTATTCATGTTACGTCGGCCTTAAATTAGGCCATCTTCAGTATTACAATCATTCGTTTTATAACTTACGCACTTATATATATTCACGCAAAAGGACGCAGATTTGAGTTTTTTCGCGTTATACATTGTAAACTTAATTACACGAGAACGTTCATCCACGAATCGATTTATTTATTACACAGAATATTAAAACAAAGGGCCCTATTATAAGATACCGAAATTCATTTTGGATAAATGCTAAAAGTCTATGGGCAGAACTTAAAAAAATAATAGGTCATTTTAAAGGGAATTTAATAAATTTTAAAATAGCGTTAGATAAAATTTAATTCAAATTCCATTTTTTTTTTAATTAAAAAAATGTAAAAAGTGAGCAAATCACAAAGTAAAAAAAATCGTGTTTCTAATATGAGATGCACCGAGAAATCGATAGCAAAACGCAAAATATATCAGTATTGCAATTAAAAAACTTTATTTCATGTTTCTAAAATGCAAACAAACACAAGCCAGCGTGCGTGAAAAATGACCATGCGATAGATTATACCCAGAACTCGTCTTCAGGTAGTTGGAATCAAGCATCGCAGAAATAAGCACTCGACGTTCATTCCGGTTGTCCTTTTTATTATAGTACAATAACATTTACTCTTTAGCAACGATTTTCGCTATAACATAGGAGTATAGGTTATTTCATATTAGAAATACTGGGTATCTCATATTACGATTTCCACGCCTTATGGTTTTATGATCATCAAATCTAATTTCTGTAATTAAAAAATTCAACATATCCCGTATTTTTCTATTAGTACGACTTTACTCTATCACTACATGAAGAATTTATTGCCAAATATTTATTTATTAAATTATAAACAAGATTTAAAGGCTCATCTCTCAATGAAACTTGAAGATATCCAAATTCTAAAATCTTTTTTTACAATGACTACAGTCATGATCTAATAATGAATTTTCTACTAAATAGTTTTCAATCCAAGAGCAATAAATTCATGGTGAAACCAATAGATAGCGTTTATTAGTTTAGCAGAAACGCCGCTATCTCATATTAGGCGCCTATCTCATAATAGGGGGCTTTCCTTTAATAATAAAAATAAAGTTAGTCAAAAATTGTCTAGTTATATGCTCCAGAACAATTTGTCTATTACAATCAGTCCGATAATCCCAAGATTCATCCTTAATTATTGAACACGCAATTTCCGGATTCTAATGAGCATGGATGTATTTTTAAATTAATTATAATAATTCTAGAATCAAGTAAATAAAACAATATAATACCTGTGTTACGATGAACTTCAATAGAATGTTATCAACACGTGAATAACTTGGTGTAACAGTTCCACTAATGAAGACGTCAGGTATAGTATGTTTAAATTTAATCATGACCGACCGTTTATAAATAAAATTCTGTAGAGAAAGGGTAACTCAGAAGTTATGTGGGAGAAGTTATATTAAGTAACGGAAAGACTCTGGTAATCGTTTCGTACCATTTTATTTGTTTATTCCAATAAATTTTTAATGAATATCGTTTCAGACGTAATTACGTCTTTTGATCAAAAGACTCGGTTTTCAAAAGACTTAAGTCTTTTGAAAACGTGACTCCGTATCTAATACTTAAATATTAGCCTAGTTTAATTTGTGACTATATTCAAGTTGATACTGTAATATTACAGTATGAGAGTCTTTTAATTTTTTAATGTTTGCTTTATGTTTTTTTATTCTCGTTTTTATTTTCTTTTTGGTTTGGTCAACATACGAAGAATCACAATCGAGACAGCTTATTTTATATACAACGTCGCATTGCTCCAATTTGTCTTTACCTAATTAAATAACAGAATTCAAGATATTCATAGGTTTATAAGCTACTTTAAAATTATTTTTTTTTGCGATAGTTTTAAATTTTTCAGAGATTTTGTTCATATATGGTATTGTAAAATATTTTCTTATATTATTATTATTAGAATCATTATTATCAATTGTATTGTTTACATATAAATTATTTTTTCTCGATAACATTTTTATTCTATTATTAATTGTGGAGAAAGTTATGTCAAGAGGATAACTATTAGTGAGCAGAACGTTCATCATAGATTCAATATTTTTATTGTAATATTCTAAATGTGACAGGAAAAGAATTTTATCTAGCTGACCGATTATAACTTCTCTTTTATGTTCTATTGGGTGGTTAGATTTGTAATTTAGATAACGTCCTGAATTCATAGATTTTTTATAATTGTCAAATTTGATATGACCTCCTCCACCTTCAAACTTACATCAAGAAAATTAACAGAATCGTCATTATTGTGTTCTACAGTGAATCTCAATTTGTCATGATAAGAATTAAAACTATTTAATATTTCATTAATCTGGTTGTTCGGTACTGCTAGTATAATATCATTATCGTAACGATAATATATTGGAATATTAATATTCAAGTTGGAAAGAATAATTTTTTCCAAGTCTTGAATTATACCAAATTCGCCAAGATAGGTGACAATGGAGATCCCATCGGCATATCAAAGATTTGTTTGAAATAGATATCTAGATATCTGCAATAAATCAGCCTAATTTAAAAAATTTTAAAAAGGGAACAGAAAACTGCTACGTCCACGTCGTTGTTCCTGGGTTACGCTAAAAGTAATTTCTTGAAAAGTAGTTAATGAGTAATTAAAAATAATGAGAAGTTTTAAGACTAATTTCGAGTATTAACAATAAAAACGTGGTATTTTTATTGTTAATGTATTGCAGAATCGTAAGCATGGATTCTCAGTAAGAGAAATCGAAGAAATTGAATTTCGTCGATTACAGCGCCATCTATCATGAATCGAGAAAAATGTTTCAGACAAATCGTATGTGCTTTTAGCCAAAGATTCCGAATATGCAATAAAAAATAGGGGTTCCCATTTAAGATTTCAAATTTGCCCCCCCTCATCGCCCAGGGGCGGGGGGGAGGCTGATTTTAACGTCAGTGTATGTCACCCTCGGAATGATGAAATATTGATTCTTAACATTTTTTCTTAGTGTGCTTATTTTTCGAGATATTTGAAAGTTTCAGGTTAAAAAAATTACCCTGTATATAAATATGCAGAATGTCCGGTAAATATCGAACAATTCCTAAGAATAGATTCTTGAGATTATTTTGATATGAAAATTCTAATGCCAATCGGCTATAATACTTTATTAATTATTCGCATTAATTTAACGTTAGAGAATAATGTTGCCTACAGTTCACGCATTCAGGTGAGGTACAAAGCGAAATGCCAACTAACAAGGGACGTCACTCAACTATCCGGCACCGATTTGATTCTCCGTGAAATATATTGTTAAACACAAAAATCTAAGAGACATGTATCTTTTTATATATGCGCTAACTCATGTTTAAAGAGGGAAACACCTCTTTGAAAAAAAAACGGTATTTCTATTTCAAACCGAATATCAATATATTGTTCATCATAAAAGTAAAATGCAAGAACAACAGTTCCTCAAAATATCCCGTGAAAGAAAATCAGTAAAATTAAATAAAACTTTTGATTAATATTTTATATACAATTGTATATATGAGTTGTTGAGGATATAGATTGCACGACTGATCGTTTTACTTTTTTTATTCCTTGATAAGATAATGATCTTCCAGAATAAATTTCCAATTGGAAACCATTTTGATCCGAATTAAAAACATTTGCAGATCTGAACTGTTCGATAAGTGGTTTCACTATTTTCACAAAATCATCAGCTATTTTTTGTAAATCAACGGAATCTTCCAGTGTTCATTTAGTTACAAATTTCGTAACTTTTCTCGATATAATTCGGTTGAACTTCTTGAATTTTGATACCCAATTGTGAGATGCTTTAAATATAGGATTTACATTTCCTATTTCTTCTTGCGCTTGTAAAATCTACCTTTTTAGATCGATATCATAAGTCATGAATCCTGATTCAACAGCTGCAGTAAATTTATCATATGTAAATTTGGAGATGTAAGATAATGTACACGTAACTTTATATCATATCTTACGTTATCATTTAATTAAAAGGATATTGAACTGTGAACTGGAAAATGGCAAATCTGAAGAATTTATGATATGTAATGAGATAAGATATAACTTTCTAAAAGTCACGCATCTTGTATCAAAATTGTGACATACTTTTGAAAAATAAATGTATATATCTTATCTCATTACATATCACAAATTCTTCAGACCTGCCATTTTCCAACAATTCAATGCATATTTAATTATAAGATAAGTATTAGGTGTTGAACTTAATTCCTGCCGTTTTTCGTCTCCAAAATTGATTTGTTTCGAAGGGAAATACCTTAATCAAAGTATTATTAATAAAGTAATATTAATTAGCAATAAAGTAGAAAATGGAGGAAGTTACTTTGATTAAGGTATTTTAGTATAATAAATAAAGAATGCCCCATTTTTACTATCGTTTACAGAAAATAATGCTGTGAAAACAATTGGTTGAAATTGTTACAACAAATTGCACTTGCATTTGAGAAATGCAATGACTTCGCTATTTTTTGAAGATTCGTGCGTCTTTTAATAATTAAATCTACTTTTTGGATTGCAACAATAAAATAATTTAACTGACCTATACCAGTAGACACGTCGCAAATGCAAGTATAATAATGGCTGCTTTTCATTTATATCTTTTTTTGTCGAATACATATAAAAATGCTTTGAAAGAATGTTATTATATAACGTATAATCTTAATTGTATAGCTGCATTAAAAGTCTTAAATTAGATGTAATTAGAACACTTATATATAGATGATTTATGACATTTTAAGTACTTATAATAACTATAAATAATGCATGTGTTATCTTATCAATAATTATTCTTCTTTTTCTATGGCACTGCAGTTCATATCGAGCCAGGGTCTTTCTTATCGCAGTTCCATATTTCGTTGCTTCATAGCTGGTTTATCCGTCCAATCCGAGGCTTATTCTGTGGTTCCTGAACAACAATTTTTTCCACGTACAGGAAGTTAGCCTGTAGCGTAACCATTGTTTGTAAGAGAAGTGAGCGTGGGTAGGAGAGATGTGAGGCTTCATTTTCGTGAAACTGTCATCCGGTACACATCACTACCTATCAGGTCGATGATCAGACCGACACCATCAATAATTGTTACCAACAAAAAAATAATTAATTTGTTGTCTTTGCAGGTGTATATAGTAGGACGAGAAAAAGATGTAACTTTTTATTGCTTTTCTTTATTAATGACCGGGTTAAACGATACATATATGCATATAGTGCTTGTTGTAAAACTTTTGACTTTCCATGACCAATTAATCTTTCTGACTATAAGTAGATCCGACTTTTACGATTTTGTAATCCAATCATATTTCAACATATTACTTACATTTATCTTTCGACACAGAGAAAATATAAATGTTAATAGTAATACTACGTTGGAATATTTGTGCACCCAAGCCGCGTGAAATCCTTTTATTTCTCAAGAATTCACCTTATGTCTCACATTTTACTTTTTTATTTTTTTATTTGTGAAATAAGTCCCTAAATTTTTTTAAATCGATATCTAAATATGTGTTTTGTATTAAATACATGCGCTCCCATCATATGTATAACAATACATATATTATCCGGATAAAATGATGTATTGTTCGGCAAAGGACGAACAGGACGCGTTTTCTACATTCAACACGTGTATGTTCATCCCGGACCAATTCAAACAGATGTCTTGAATATATATATAATGTATATACATATTTAACAATCTAACAACTTAATAAATAATCTTTGATTTTATTTAACCTTTGCTTTAGGTGTTCGCAGTTTCCCTACTCTTTTCTAACTGAACTGTAGCTGTAGTGTAATATCGCAACTGCGATATAATTGCTTTCTATTCATCTTTTTTTAACGCAATATATATGAAAGTATTTTTAAGCAGTTTTGTTAAAGTCTCTTATTGAGTCAGTGTTATTATAACTTATCGATAACTAATATATAACCCCATAACTTATTACACATAAATTATAATAACATGTGGTATATAGTACGATATTTTATTTATCTGTATGATGATATCAAGGACGGAAAGTAATGTATTTATTATTATACTTTTGTAGGCGTATGAGGTGATAGAAAATAATGTAATTAATATCTTTGTAGTATAAGGTGATTTACATTGCTGCATTTCTTTTATTTTTTTAATAATAATTGAATTATAAATTAAATTGGAATATTTCTCTAGTATATTCCGAAGACGTTATAAAGGAGTAAAATTCTAATTCGATTTAATAATGCATTTTAAACAAATTATAAAATGATAATGACGCACAAATATTATATAAAAGTAACATTATCTTACAGTTTATTAAATTTCCT